GTGCCAGGTATATGAGAACTTTCCATACCATCATCCTAATTTTTCTGTCAATCTCAAACTATTGCTAAAGAATAAAGTCTATTAAATTTTCTTTTTAAAAACAGAGGGCTGGATATGTTGATGTCTCCTTACCAGTCACTACCAAATCCAGGGCTTTGCTGTGCTCCGACCAGCCTTTCTGGTTCCTGTATCGGCAGTGGTAACGCCCTGAAGAGGTTTCGTCCATGCGGTGAATGATGAATTCAGCTGCCTCCTTCTGAAATCCCAGTATTTTATTGACCACCCGGTACTCCGTGTTTCTCAAAAGCTCCAGGTGGTACAGGTATGACTCAGGAGTTCCCCCACAGAGAACCTTCACAGTCTGATTCCAGGGGACCACAGAACTTGGGACAGCAGATATGGTAGGAATGGGAAAGTCCCCTGCAAGAGAAACAGAGCCAGGTTGAGTTGACCTGACATGGAGAAATTATACGCTGTTGTGTGCTGTTGGGACCCACACAAAAGCACCTTGGTAGATAGGTCTAATGATCTGCTTCTGAAGATCAGACATTGAAAACCCTACGGGACACAGTTCTATCCTGACACACAGGGTCGTCATGAGTTGGTGTCAACTCAGTGGCAACTAACAACTCACCCAATTAGTTGAACACAAATTGAGGGTTCCCATAGAAGGAAGGATTCTGCCTAAGACTGGAACCTCAAAATTAAGCCTGGGTTTCCACTCTGCCACTTACGGGTTGTGAGCTTAAGGCTGCCAAATCAACTCTGACCCTAATTCTCATTCTGTCGGCCTGCCCTGTGAATTTTAGCTTGCCAGCCCCCACAAGCACATGAGCTAATTCCTTAAAACAGAATGTGTTCCTCTTTCTCTCTGTATTTCCAAGTCGACTATCTGCACCAACCATGTAATTGCTCCCCATTCTCAAAAATCACACATATATGATATACCACAAGTATTATCAGATCTTCAAATTCTACATCTTTATACTTCAGACCATGTACCATAATTTATTTTTATGTGCTTATGCATTTTTCATTAATATTTGACAGTGTCCACATCAATCATTTTCATGAAAGTGTTAAGCAGGTCTGTACAGGTCAGGGCTGCTCAATCTGACACGTTTGGGTTGGAGGTATGTATGTATGGAAGGCTGAAGAAGAATTGGTGCATTTGAATTATGGTGCTGGCAAAGAATAGTGACCACATCATGGACTGCCGGGAGAACGAACAAAGCCGCAGGAATGCCCCTTAGAAGAAAGGATGGTGAGACATCATCCCTCATACTTCGGACATGTTTCAGGGGGGACAGGTCCCCGGAGAGGGATATGATGCTTGATAAAGTAGAGGGCCAGTGAAACAGGAAAAGACCCCCAATGCAATGACCCAGTGGCTGAAGCGATGGCCTTAAACATGGCAATGATGGTGAAGATAGATATTTGTAAAAGCCAGAACGTGATGTAGGTAGCAACTTGCAGAAAGAAAATCCAAATATTTTTCTATTCAAGTGAGCAATTGAAAGAGTAAGAGTGTACCATCAAGGTGGCAGACTTGTGAGATTGGGAAAACAGGCAGTGCTGTTGACTCCTGGCCCCCACAGTTTCCTGCATTGAATTATTAGTAACCGAGCAGGAGCCTTTTTGATTTTTCTCCTTCTTTTCCTTTAATGACTCCTTCATTCTCAAAAACGTTATCGATACGGTTTCACAAATAATTATCACACGATTGTAGCTAACACACCAGGAAATTCGACAAAGTCAGCAACTATAAAAACACCAGCAACAACTCAAACAACAGTGGGTGCTGGTAGCGTGAGCAGATGAAACCACGTGATCTGAAGTGTCATTGTAACTGGGCAATAATGACAGCTCTGACTGGAGTGTATTGAAAGGTTCAAAAAGTAAATTACTAAGACACTAGGAAACAGTTAGTGCAAAGGACTAAGGAACCATGTGAACCCCAGCCTCTGTGACCCTGGGGCCAGAAGAACTAGATGGTGCCCGGCTACCACTGCTGACCACTCTGAAAGGGATCACAGTAAGAGGTCCTGGAACGGGCAGGAGAAAAATGTGGAACAAAACTCCAAACCATAAAAGGGACCAGGCCTACTGGTCTAGTAGAGACTGGTGGGACCTCTGAGACTATGGCCATGGACACCTTTCAAATCTGAAACTGAACTCACCCCTGTAGCTCAAT